CCCCCTGAGGCCTTAGGTTGCCTACTCCTGCTTTAAAGAGATGCAGGTGAATGTCACAGTCCATTTCTGCCAAAAGGCAGACGTTTGGGGGTAGTGGTGACACCCTCCTTAGGGCCTACACCACAGGTCCCTTTTTGATTCTGCATTGCATATTCGTTGTTAAGATTGGTTGCTCTCACCTTTAGAAAGGGTGATCAACCCAGGCTTGGGAACACGATGGCTAATTGGTACCCCAATACTTTGTGGGGGGGGGGATGGATTGTCACTTTACCATTTTTAGCAAAAGGCTGTTAGATTTCCATCATGACAATCAGGACTTGGCTTTGGCTGTTATGCTAACAATGGAGCCTAACAAGCAAACTGTTCTTTGCAGATTGTCATTTGGTTGATGGATTGGCAAATGGAATGAGAAAACTAAGAGTTGCCCCTACTGCTACAGAGAAGTAGTGATGGCTACTTTTTCTTTCTTTTGTATTCTAGCTGTAGGAGACGTAGGCTGAAATATTCAAGTGCATGAGGAGCCCCTTGATCCTAAACTAATCTGGTTGAGAGAAGAATCATTTTTTGCCTGCTGTTCGTTAGATTTGCCAGCATTGTAATGGCTGGCATCCCAAGAGTTCAAGGCAATGGCTGCTAGCTCTGGGAGAAAGGTGTTTGGTGGGAGGAAACACTGGGATTTATAAACTCTTGCTCTAACCCTACCCCTTCAGACTGACCAGTCAGAAGCTCTGAGCAGGCTTAATGCCCAGTAGATTGTCCATCTGATTCATCCATTTCGAGCTTCTTTTCTTGGAGGCATGGCTGGGATGGAAGGGGCTGAAAGCTTTTTGCCTTCTTTGGTGCATATATAGGGGCGCATCTACACTGTAGAAATAATGCAGTTTGACATCACTTTAACTGCTGTACCTCCTTCCTAGGGAATCCTGGGATTTATAGTTTTACAGCATCTTTAGCCTTCTCTGCCAAAGAGTGCTCATGCCTCACTGAACTACAAATCCTAGGATTCTGTAGGATGGAGCTGTGGCAGTTAAAGTGCTGTCAAACTGCATTATTTCTACAGTGTAGATGCATCCTAAGACAGTGCTGGAGCAGTTCTATCCCTCCAGATATTGTTGGACTTCCCATTCCTGCCAGCCTGGCTATGGTGAACAATGGTGGGAGAAAGCAGGTCATCTCCATCTGGAAGGCCACCAATTCCCAAACTTTGATCGAAGATGTTTATATATATATATATATATCCTTAGAAATTAAGTTGTGCATGCATCAGATTGATGTATTTGACAGGTATGTGCCTCAGTAAGCCAGGACTGGCCACAAATCCCTATTAAAACTCATCTGTGGCCCAAAGAAGTATTGCCTATTTTAATTTTGGCCCCTACCTACTGCCAAGTTCTGCAAGTCTTCTTTAGGGTCACCATAAGTCGGAAATGACTTGAAGGAACACAACAACAACAACAACAACAACAACAACAACAACAACAACAACAGGTTCTTGCACACTACACAGTTGTAGTGCTGTGTTTCCACTTTAATTGCCATGGCTGAATCCAGGGTGGTGGTGTTATAGTTTGGGAAGGCACTAGAGTTTCCTGGCTGAGAGTTCTAAATGCTCCTTCCTAAACTGTGAATCCCAGGGCCCCATGGGATGCAACAACAGCAATTAAAATTATAGTTCGGTCCCAGGTTATGGGAGGGGAGAGCTCAGTGTATGTCACATATCCTATCCAGCACACCCTTAGATAGCTTACTGCCTTAACATGTGGTGGTGGATTGCTGTAGCATCACCAGTTTTGAAGAGAGATTTAACTGCCACTCTATATAGTTTGCTTTTGCACATGGAATGGACCATCTTGTCCTTCACCTCAAACACTGGAATGTCTTCAGCTGAAATGGGGTGTTGGGGTGGGGTGTGACAGTAATAGTGAACTCTGTAGTTGAATAAACAGGTTGTATATTTTTGAGATTCCTTTTTGAGAATGCAAGCTCATCTTTGCATCCCATAGTAGTAGGATGCATTCTAGTTTTCAGTCCCTGCCTCTTTCTGTCTGCCTCATTCACAAGAGCCAATGAGCTATTGTTGCTGGGGTTTGTGCCAGAATATGGTGAAACTAGGTCAGTCTTCCCTAAACTGGTCCCCTCCAGATATGTCAGACTTCAGCTGCCATATCCCTAGCCAGCATAGCTATACTGTCTGGGGAGGATGGGATTTGTTTTCTAGCACATCTGGAGCATGTTAGACTGAGGAGGGCTGAATTAGATAAAGGACTGTTAAGTTCAAGCTGGCAGAAGTGTAGAAAAAGATAGTCAAAATGATCTTGTATGAGGAATGGTTACAGTAGGGGTGGCTTTTTTTTTTGTATATGGCCCCCAAGGGCCATTTTTCTGGGCCCCAGTGGTCAAAGAACATTTTGTGATTTTTTTTCCAAAATTTTCCCCACTAAAATGCCCTCTGGGAGACATAGGAGGTATTTCCACCACATTTTGGGTTGTGGTGGTAGAACAGTTTAGGCCCCTTGCCTCTTTTTTTAAGGTGGGTATGGTGGTGTGTGTGTGTGTGGCTTCTCAGTTTCTCCAGGAGGACCACTGAGGCCTCCTAACCTTCCATAGGAGTTTATCACACGGGGCTTTAAATTAAACAAAACCTGCAAAAGCGGGTGTTTTTTCAGACGACATCACTGTTAAAAGGAGGTTAATCCAAATGGAAATTAGACAAAAACTGCTTCTTTTTATTTTCGGAAGATCCCGAAAGTAAAAAGAAGCAGTGTTTGTCTAAGTTCCGTTCGGATTAACCTCCTTTTAACAGCACTTTCACTTTTTACACAGGGCAGAACGGGAGAAATCCCATTCATTGAAAGCTTCTGCTTTTGTGGTTTGTTTTTTACTTGAAAGCCCGTTTCTGCACGGGGCTCCCCGTGTGATAAACTCCATAGTTGCTCACCTCTGGGATACAGAGAGACCATTTCCCTTCTCCCTTTCTCTTAATAAAAGAACCCGAGGCCATCCAGTGGAGCCAAATGATGGGAGATTCAGGACAGACCGAATGGAAATATTTCTTCACACATTAAGTTGTGGAATTCACTACCACAAGATGTCATGATGGCTGCCAACTTGGGCAGCTTGAAAATTGAATGAGACAAATGGAAAAGAAGAATGCTGAAACTGGTTTTAAGCTTGGGAGAGTGTAAATTCAGAAGGCATGTTGTAATTTTGCCACTTGCAGGTAATCATTCAAACATCCTTAAATGTGAAGATTCTTATAAGCAGACTGGGTAAGCTTACTCCTAAAGTGTGAGTAGGATAAACTGCAGGCAGCCTTATTATATTCCTGGGAGGACTCAGTGACAACAGCTATCAGCTAATATTTCTTAGAGTTTGATCACTTAGTGCCCTTCTGATTGATAATTCCTGAGACTTGGCTACCTAGAAGTCTTAGTGACCCAATTTTGTCAGATCTTTTGTCAGATCTTCAATCCCTCACCCCACACCTCCATGCCAGCATACATGTTCCTCATAAAGAAGATGGAAAGACCACCTGATTAGAAAGCATGGTCAAAATACACTAAGAGATAATCAAAAACCAGAACGGAAGCAATACTGAACATACGTAAAATACGGTTGGTCCTTCCTATCCAATAATAATAATAATAATAATAATAATAATAATAATAATAATAATAATAATAATAATTTCTATCCTGCCCCTCTGACAAGCAATCGGGGTGGCTTACAACATTAAAAATTCATACAATATAATGCAGATTACATAAAAGTAACCTAAAACCCCCAAAAGCCACCTGCCCCTTAAAAAATTATTAAATCAAGTTATATATTAAAACATATTAGAATATGTTAAAATAGACTCAGAATAACACCAAAACTGACAACAGCAGCGGCTACAAACAGAAGTGGGGCA